ACGATTTTCGATAAAAATCTTTGCCGTTTGGATACCGATTGTAAATCATTAATCGGTCCTTTTTTTTTTCTCAAATCGAAATGTTTTACCTGGGCAATAATAATTCTTCCTGTTATCTTTCGCTCACGAGTTCTCCGCCTGCAAATCTATGCACCTGTATATCTCCAGGTACTACTCCGTCTTGGCAATGCGCGCACTGTCTCCCGTAGAATCCCCCGTATTTATCGAAGGGAGGTGTAGGCAGGTTGCCCGAAGGATCAGCGATATCCGTGATATCTTTCTGTCCTTCGGGCATCCGGCGTATTTTCTCCCGAGTAATGCGTTTTCTTGAGCTCGTTGCACTCGTAAGTAGATACGCGCCATCTTCTCTCCTGCCTGCTAGTGAGAGAGAAAGAACGGCGTTTTCTCCCTTAGTCTGGTGTAGAGGAAGACGCACTTTGATCGAAGGTGAGAGGGGAGTATCTCGAACGCGTGGTACAGTCTTAGGAGTGAAGCGCCTATTGGCAAACTTACAGAGGGCGAACTTGAAGAACTCGGGGGCATTTTAGGGGGTTCCACCGCCGGTGCCCTTGCCCTTGGCGGCAGGCACAAGCCGGAGGAGCTTTCCACATTGGCGGCCAACACCAGATTCTCCAGGAAGGAAATACAGCTTATCTATCGCGGTTTTAAACAGGAATGTCCCACGGGTCTCGTCGACGAGGAAGCTTTTAAACAGATTTTTTCACAGTTTTTCCCCCAAGGTGGTAAGTAGCGGTGAGAGAAATTGAGCGTTATATAAAGTAGTTTCAACAGAGAAGGGATCAACGTTCTTTCAGACGCTAGCCAGTATGCTCATTATGTCTTCAACACTATGAAGAGGAAACCGTCTGGAAAGATAAGCTTTGAAGTGAGGATCTTTTGGAGTGTATACTTAACTCGAGTAGTAGATACGATTTTAGATAGTTCCTTTTTGTATCCAGGAATTCTTGACTATTTTGTCGAAAGTTTCGAGAGGATCGGTAGAGGAAAAATTGCAATGGATATTTGGACTTTACGATCTGGACGGAGATGGATTGATCAGTAAAGAGGAAATGTTGGATGTTGTTGGTTCGATTTATGAGATGTTGGGCCGTTATACTCAGCCACAAATAGTCGAGCCGCATTTGGCGGCTCGGGAACA